CAACAATAGGTTATCTGGACATATATTCTATATGTGTTTTACCTATACCCATTTGCGCCTGTTGTCTACTTTTGTAGACAAAATATTAAAACACTAAAATAAAAAATACAGTACTTATATTTGAAAAATAAACGGATATATGTTATAACTATATGGTTACTATATGTTTATACATTTCTTATATAAAAATAAAATTCCGGCACAAATGGGTTAAGGAAAAGTGTGTACAAATAATCATGTACCTCTTCATTATATGCCCATGACATTGAAAAAACATTGTGTCATCTGTTTACTTCAAGGTTAGTCACATTGACAGTATCACATTTTAGACTTTATCTCTCTTGATTCCATTCATAAAAAGCATTCTCAAAATGGGTCCTCTTAATTTCACATTCATCAATCTGACAAAAACCTCCTGGAAAAGAAGTTAGAAAAATATGCCACTAATTATGTCAGTTAATGTCAAATAAATACTTTGAGAAACTATTTGGTCAAAATTGTAAATGTACAAAGATTTTCAAACCAAATATATATATAACAATGAACATTTCCTTTTTAACTTTCTAACATATATAATGTATGGTCTTACTTGAAGAAAATGTTTGCCCGTGTGACCGAAAAGGGATTAAGGACCATTACTATTGTTTTTCCTTTTGTTTATTAAAGGGCCATGGCCCCATATTCTATTGTTATGGAATGAATTCTATTGTTCTCTTTTGTTATGCTACAGTAAGATGGATATATATATCAAAGTCAGAAAAAAAACTAACATGTTTTTACCTTAATGGCCTGTATAATTATGTTTCACAGCTTCTCAGCAAACAACCAACTGAGCCACAATTGAAATCTAACAAACAAGCCTTTATTCACAAACCTGAAATAAAAACTTTTCCTAATCAATACAATAGTTCTTTTAATTTATTACATACTTCATTGAAACATTAAGAAATATTGATAAAGTAAAATGCTCATTTTCATTTCCTGTATTTTCAATGTAATTATTCATTTTTCATTGCGTATTTTCACAAGTGTCTCCTAAATTTAGCCTATACACAATAGACTGTAAAGAATAATAGGGCAATTTCTTTATAATTTCAAGTATTTATAGTCAAAACAGTCCTTTTTAAAGGCATATATATGGGTAAGTTGAATGTTGCATGTCCAGATATGATTGACTAACAATTGTAAAAGTGAGTAATAATTGTCGGAATCATAGCTCAATCGGTAGAGAACATAGCTCAAGGTTACCAGATTTCAAAAAAAAAATTATTAATTTTGTTCTGACATGTCAGGAACAACTTAGATATGTCAGGAACAACTTGAAATTTAAATGTGTTTTTCGTTTGATTGATTTTTGTTACCTATCTTACTTTTTCATTGAAGTATCTTTACCTTCTTAAAAATTATGCCCAAATCTCATTTCTTTCTCTTTTTTTTAAACTTCTTTTCATGAATTTAATATAAATATTTTCAACAGATTTTAAAATAATCAAAATACAACACTGTTAAGCATATATAACTGTTGTCAGGATTAAGTTTTGTTTCATCAAAAAAAAACTTGAATAGAAAATAGAACAGTTTCCACCTGTAGTTTGGAACACACTAACTGAATTCACTTTTATATCAATATTATGCAGTCTTAAACTTATTTCACTAGTAAGTCAAATGATTTATTATCTCAAACAATGTAATTACATGTAGTATAAGTTTTATGGAAATAATGTGGTTAATCACTTGCAGTTAATCAAGGCTCGACAAATCCACTTGTCCGCTCATAAATGATAAATACGAGTAAAAATGACTCTGGACAAGTTAATCTCCCAAAAATGCCCGTCCTGCAGGACATGTGAAATTTCTAGCATAAATTAATCAAATTTCAATTCAATTCTTTTGAAACCATTTTTCAAGTTTTACTAGTAAGACAGAGCACAAAATAATTCCCGTGTGTTTGATGAGCAAAACTGATGTTGATTTGTTGAATGCAACGCTTAATTCTGTCCGATTCTATTTTGTAAAAACTTACTAAAAGCCCGTGCGGCGATTCCAGTATGTTCCACAAAATTTTTTTAAAATGTAACAATGCAATATTCGGCAAATGTTTAGCCAGAAAGAAGTTAGTTAAACAGTGTCTTCAAAAAAGAAAAATTGTCTTCAAAAAAGAAAAATGAGTCAGAACATGTAGGAAATTTATATTTTTTAAGCATTGTTGTTGTTGTTGTTTTTCGTTTTTCAATCCCTGATATATTATTTGTAGTATTTGTAACTATTATCTATTCTATTTGTAATAGAACAGCATTTTTCCCTTATAAAACTATTTACGTTCCCAATAAAAAAAGACAGCAAATTTTCAAATGTTTTATTTTTAAAGTCCCAAAATTACTGTCAAAATTCCCATCCAAAATTGGCATATATAAAATGGATGATTTCATATTGATAAGTGATATGTGATAAAAACCAAGTACAACTACATCTGACAGAGCAATATTTGTACCTAGTTCATTTTTATACTTCCGAACATTATTTATGTACATGTACTCATTTTTTTCACTCCAATAGGAAATCAATATATTATGCATGGTTTAACTTTAAATGTGTATAAATATTATGCATAATTCTCATGTCTCCCTGGATAAAATTCAAAATTAACCATGTGGCATAAAATACCTGTCAGTTATGTAGTATCAATTTGAGTCAAAACGCATTTTTCCAAAAAAAAATTGTACTGGTAGCGTATAGATAATAGTTATCCAGAACTAAGCAAATGTCAGGGTTTTTCGATGCTAATCCCCAGTGTAAATATAATTATAACCTTACTCAAATTTCTTAAAATGAGGGGTGAAGTGTCTGCAAAAAAGGGCCTAGGGTGAAGTGTCTGGGGGGTGAAGTGTCTGTAAGCCGAGGTGATGGACAAGGCAAGACATGTCAATTTTTTGTAGCTTATTATGAAGTTGCAGTACAATGAGAGACTGGCACTACTTGTATATTTTTTATTTAAAAAAGCTGTAAGGTAAGCATCAAACAATATGTATACGCTAGATGTAAATAAACTCACCTCCAAAAATATATAAAAAAAAATGGGTCAAAAATGTCTGGGTAGGAAATGGTTTGAGGGAGGACTTTCAAGGGAAGGAACTGCTAAACTTAAAATTTGATAAGGTCAATTCAGTACAAAAAAGCTTTTCCCGATAATGGCCGATTGTGAAGAAAATTTGTAAAAAATCGAGCTTTTAATTGCAACTTAAATATCAACGTTCTGAAATATAAACAATGAACATCAGTCATCTTGAGTAACGTTGTATTGAAAGTCATATCCGGTATTAAGTCAAACTCTTGTATTTTTTGTAAGCAACCAGAATCGCCAATGATTTCGCCACTGATAAATGGATAAATGCAAAACAAGCAAAGTTATTCAACAGTTAGGTAAATGGGAGATAAGGTTTTTGTAATATAAAACTTACAACTTGTTTTAACACGTGGAACTTCTATATAAACTTCTCAATCTTTCACGGATGAACTTGTAAACAATGGCGATTGCGGTAAAATGACGTTAGGGCGAAAATAGTTCGTATTCATACGCATGCATTGTTTTTCTTAAATTTACACTTATGAAGCATTAGGTCCTATAAGCTTTAAAGTTAGCTGATCTGAAATCCGTATTCCATTACTTGCTAAATTTTTGAGTTCTATGACACTTAATTAACTTGTGACTACATGTAATTTGTACTATATTTATGCAAGTACTTTGGCTATGATCGACCGCTGGCGTAGTAATATTAAAATCGCGTAAAGCAAAAATATACATACAATTTTAAAAGACGATTGCTAAATTTAGTACAAAATTGGCCAGTCAATTTTAAAATAGATAGGGAACTATGATTTTGGAGTTACTGCGAAGTTTTGGAACTATTTTGCTTAGCGTAGGTAGCTGACTATTTGTGGTCATATCATAGTAAATCTGAATTTGTCGTTATTCCATTGGGGGCGCATTGCGCATGCGCCCCCAAAAATGAAATGTTGCGATATGTACAATGAATAGCGAACTGGAGAATTTCGCAATGCAAACATTTTCAAATGAAATAACCTTTTTCCGTCCCTTCAGTTTTTTTTTATTTATCATTTTGTAGTACATTGAATGATAAGTTGATGACCTAAATGTCTACTGTCTACCTAAACATTCCGAAAATCTATTTATAGAAGGATATATATATATATATATATATATATATATATATATATATTTATATATATATATATATATATATATATATATATATATATATATATATTATATATATATATATATATATATATATATATATATATATATATATATATATATACAATTGAACTTTCTTGTCGAATGTTTGACAGAAAGGGCCAAATTAAACCCTTTACCAAGAAGAAATGAAAAGGTTTTGAAAATGTATTTTTAAAGTAAACAGGTTTTTCTAATGATAAAAAGTATGAACCCGATTAATGAAAAATAACTTATGTAATTATCTGTACAAAATAACAATGATTTACATCTTATCAGTTACCACCATTAACAAATTACCTGTCTTATCAGCAATCTGTTACTATTAATATATTTTATAACGATATACAACATATATAAACATGTAGTCACGTGATTCTTACGAAAGACCAGGGAGCATTTGTTTATAATTAAATGAAATAATGTAATATAAAAGGTCTCATAAAAATAAACAACCAAATAATTCTAAAGAGTCATTTCAAATATCATTCATGATTTATTTATTATAAAATAGCAATGCTTGACACATAGAAATCAAAGTGCTGCAGCACTGAATGCGACGGACATGCAACCGGAGAGACATTAATTAAGGCTTCTTTTAGAAAAACAAAACAAAACAAAAACAAAACACAAAATATATAACAAAGAAAATTTGTTCCATACAAGTTCGAGATTTGTACAGCAATATATTTTGTGTCCCAAATTGATATAATTCAGATTTTCTACTTTCAAGCACTTAAATACAGAATGAAATTTATGCCTAAAAACTCTGGTCAAACTTGTAAATCAGTGTCCTTATCGATTTATTCTAAGAAATGATATGTAAATAGAAAAAAAACTATCAACGAAATATTCCTAGAATAAATCCAGGCAAATAAACTTCAAACATAATACATCATACATTTGAGAATGCTATTTAGAATTGCTTCGTGTTATATCATAGTGGGCATACAGACAATAAAATATAAGTCATTTGTATTTTTATTTCTCTTGGATATGTCTCATTAAAAAAAAATGGTTAAAGTCATCAGCAATTAATAGTGTATTTCTTAGATTTTTTTTATTTACAAGGTAAAGATGTAGAGGCCAGAGCACATCGTTTTTATTTTTATTTAAATGTCACTTAAGCACTACAGTGTTAAGTTGTCCTTTTCAACTTCACACTAAATTCCATTTTCAACTTGTTTGCTTCTTACAATTGTATAGCATTTCTAAAAGTATTGCATTACAATCCGCTGGTTTATTAATTACATGTTTAATGTGTACTTCCTTATCGCCTGTCCAAAAATCAGAACAGGTGAAGCAGAATCTATTTTTAGAATAGCGAAGGTTAACTCATATCATGACCTAGTAAAATATGTAAACAAACCACAAGAATCGGATGTAGAACTGATATTATAACTTCCTTACCATGTAAGACTACATGGCGGTAAAGTGTCTTACATGCATTTTCAAAAATAGATATTTATACTAGCCATTGTACTGTATCTAATATATTAATAACTGCTGAATATTCAGCTAAACCCGCGGTATGAGTCACGAAAATAGTTCTTCTTTTATTAATGCGCGATTTATCCTAGTCACGAAAAACTTTTGATTTGTTAATAATAATGTTTTGTATAATGTAGAAATATTTATTTCCTACTTATAATGTCTTGGAACTCAGAGGTTACACCTTTATTGAAGTATAATTTGCTGTCCTACTTTTTCGACAGCGGTAAATCGTTTCAGCAGTAATTTGCATATTGCGCAATAATACTACGGGACTACAACGTTTTTATCAATAATATACGTTCATATTTTAACTTGGATAACTTAATTTGAAATTGAAAAGGCTAAATATGGAAGACATTAAGATATCCAGACAAAGTATGGGAGTTTTGAAGGATCAAATTCATGTACTATTTCTTGGGCTGTTAATTGGTTTAGGACACATTGCACGAGTGTAGCCAACGAAATCCCATGTGTAGATGACTTAGCTCTGAACGCGCCTGAGGGCGCATCCGTCGCAAAAAGTAATAGTGTCTCTAATATTCAATGACTGATCCTTGGGGATACGTTATTGATTCATTTTATGAAAATTGTAATGATGCTTTTTAAGACGTCAATATGTGCATATTTCATTCCACTGAGCAAAGTTATCATATGTTTGATTTTTTGTGATTACTGAAAAATAATTGTTGTCTTTAATTGTTCAATGATTGATATGCTTTTATTTTCAGATTTTAAGGGCTTCTCCTACCATAGGTATAATATTAAACTACTACAAATATAGTCGCCGGTTTCTACCGGCGACTAATAAAAAAACTCTTTTGCTTTAAATATCATTACTTTTTTCTCAATTTGATTTTCTTAAAATATTTTGTTTCATCTGCAGGCATGCAACTTTAACAGAAACTTCCGTTGTGGAGGCCTCGACCAGAACAAAATTGATTTTGGGATATTTCGTATCGAAATTGCATCCAAAATAATGAGAAAATGTTCTATGTGGGCGTCTGTGGCCGAGTGGTTAAGGTCGTTGACTTCAAACCACTTGCCCCTCACCCCTATAAATTCGAATCCCGGCAGGCACATTGGATTCTTTCATGTGAGGAAGTTATCCAGCTATATTACGGAACTTCAGTGGCTCTACACAGGTGTCCGTTCGTGCATGGAAAGACACCAAAGGTCTTACTCCGCCAGTAAAATCACCATATGACGTATGACGAAAAACCCAAACAAACAAGGAAAAATAAAAGTTTTCTTACTTTCAGTATTTTGATTATGTTTTGAAAGTACAGATAAGACATACTACTGAAAAAACAACAACAAAAACCACCAAACAACAACAAAAACAAAAACCAACAACAAACAGTGAACTATGTAAGCACGTCCTTTTTATAGTACATGTACATGTAAATCACTTTTCTTAACTACCACGCTTCTACGTAGAATAGTGCATCATACTGCATAATATTTTGCATAGAAACAAAAGACATTATAATTATGTTTGGACGAGAGACAAAGCCTAATAAGATTTTAGAATGAAATTCAGATTTATTGATCAATGGGAAAGTGATCATGTTCACAGATGTCACCATGTCAAACGAAACATTTTAAAAAGACAGATAATAAGTAATGGAAAAGATCAAAGAAACTACCGCGGTAAGATCAAAGAATCGAGAAAATACATCAAAGATGCCGCCATCGAAGATGATGAACGAAAAGCGCAATCTGTTAAAGTTAAAATTCAATAAAACAGGTTTGTTTTATAATCTTATAGAAGTCATGTTTCCAAATCTGAATAATACAAAAAAAGTTTCAAAAAGCATTTATTGATAAAGATATTACAAAATTGAAGAAACGAATTATATTAATGAATTAGATATAATGGTTGTTAACATTTGCAGTAATA